CAAAGATGGAATCCCAAGGAGCAAACACTAGAACAAGATCCAGACCGCAACGCTCTCAGCGTGGAGCAGATCCAGCAGCTCCTAAGAATTGGGAACGCGCTGCAAGGACAGCATCATAACCAAGTTCAACTCGGTGCGCAAGATGAAGAAGGAACCAGAGGAGAACGAGAAGGCCGTCTTCGTCGTCGAAATCGCCCTGAGGTCTCCGGAGGCACACCGCGAGCAGGAGCTGTTGACTCAGCTAGCCAATTGCACGGTGTGGAACCTAGTGGCAGCGCAAATGCGCCCACCGTCCCTAAAGAGACAAGGTCTGGCGGCGGTCCTCCAAAAGGCCTTGGAGGCCGAGTAGGCGGCTCCAGCAGTGGTACCAACATGCCCATAGATTTGATCAGAATGAGAATGAGATATAATAGCAACACCTGTTATCTCAATTCCACAGTGTTCTCGATCCTCTGGCAGGTCTCTCAACGGGTTGATGCGCGCATCCCCGACACCTGGATCAGGGCGATGACAGGCGGAGAGTGGAACCCGGTCAATTTCCTCCACTTTCAGCTAGTAGGATGGAGACAACCCCATATCCAGCATGATGCAGCTGAGTTCATACAGTTTCTCACGCCCAAACTTGGTTGGCTAGGTGATGGATTCTCCTGGGGAGCTCGCGTACAAGTTGAAGGCCAGGTCGAAGAGTGCCTTCACAGCGGTAACACGAGCATTCTGCTCATGGTCACTCCAGACGGACTGTGCTGCTCGGATATCCAACAATTCATCAATCAGTGGCACGCGCAAGCGCGCGCACATGCACTCACAGCACCCCACAACACATCTACATACAACTCCCCAGATACAGAGAAACCCCTGGGGGCATTGTGAAGCATACCATCCCTCTTGACCTTAACAGCATGGAAATCATGCTCCCCGTGTTCACATCGCAGTCCAACACAGAAGTCAGCTGGAAGTTCTACGACATCACTACGGCTATCGTTCATTTGGGTCCAACTCAAAACTCGGGACATCGGCATTTATGCCTGATCACGCGACCTGCTGGTACTCCAATGATAATCAAGCCGCTGAACAGATGTCAGTCATACCAGCTAAAGTTCAGGAACAGTGCTATATACTTGGCTGCTTGGCCAGGTAGCC